CATTTTTATTTTTTTTTCTCCGTATAATTTGCTTATTTTATAATGATATACAATACATATACATTAGTCTGATTTTTAATCATTTTTATGGCTTTATGCTGTAAGATTTCTTTCGTTGAGCTAGTTTACATTTTATTTAAAAATTAAAATTTAACCTCAAAAATTTTGAAATTCATGAAAATAATTCCCTATTTTTTCGGACACCATTTCCAAAAATCTTCCTGGTTTATGGTTTATTTTCAAACTAAATCTTAACCCTAAAACATTTTTAAACTAAGATTTTAAAAAATCACTATTTTTTCGGCCAACCCTTCTCAACCCAGAACTTTGAACTCAGAAAAAATTACTGCTTTAATGATTCATCATTAAAGGTACAAAAATTTTATCGTATACAAAATTTTATTTTATTATTTTATGGCAGCACATCTCTTTGTTTTATTTTACAATATATCTCCTATAAATTGTTGCATCAAGTTTAGCATATCATGAATTTTATGCATAGTAAATTTTCTCTTTTTTTTAATTCCCCATATATACAAGTACAACATGTAGACATAAATAGTCTACAGGCATCTTTCGTTATGTCCTGATATTTGAGAATAAACAAAAATATAAAAATTTTGAAATAAAATGAAATTGTGAAAATTTTAAAATAATTAAATTTGGATAAGGTGTGAACACTAGGATGAATTTATTTGATGGTAGTGAATCTATGCTTGAGTCTTCTGTAGGTCCGAAAAAGTCAAGAGTAATTTGTATGGAACTAATCTTCAAAACCCTTCAAGGGAGAGAATTATTTATTTGAAAAAGTTATATATTACTCAAGGGGAATACAACATAGTGGGAAAAAGTTTTGATAGAAATTTACCACTTTTTTTTCATCTTTTCTCAACGAGTTTTCATCAATACTTAATACATATTTTAACTATTGTTCGGACTGTATCCAGCTAAGTAGAAAATTGCTTAAAACTTTCTTCCATAATGTTGTTTTCCCCCTGAGCTAGAGTATATTTCTCAAAGTGGGAAAATATTTCTCCGGATAAAACTAGTTGAATGTGTTTTACGGATAGCTGAAGCTATTAAAGTGTCTCGGTAGCTACCTGGTCACGAGTTCCTATGCTTAAGACATTTATTTGGCTAGTGTGGGTTTGATTTCTATTAAATTCAATTTAAATTATTTAATAATTCAACAGATTCGATACTTAGGAACATTAAGAGCTGTTCATGTAACTCATGAGCCCCTTCATCTATTCACTAAATAGTACAATCTCAGTAGTTCTCCATCCGAAATCATAGACAACATTAAACAACACCCAAATGACACCAGAATTCATCTTCTAGCGTGCACACCTTAAGTAAAACTAATTTTGTATGCTCATACAGCACGAAGAATAGGAAGCAAAAATGTTGTTGTTATTATGTTATGTAAAGCACTGCAATGAGTTTCATTAACTGTTATGCTTTATAAATTTCATCTACTAGAGATAGGTATTGTAAATGGTAACAGAATAAGGAGAGCAAGATAGTTTATCAAAGTACCATTATTATTATTCTGATAAATCTCTGGATGTGTATGTGTTATCTGTATACAATATATTTTTCGGGTATGTATGTACAATTTACATATTTCAAGGGGAACAACATGATGAAAAAAAGATTTGAATTGGAAAGTTTTCAGCATTATTCAAGAAATATTAATCAAAATGTTGACGGCAAATTCCGATCAAAAACTTTTTCCAACCATGTTGTGTCCCCCTTGACATATTCTAATTTTGGAATTAATTTTTTTTTTTGGGGAAGTGAGGGAGGACATGACAATAGTACGGGGAATGGCTAAAATGTATTATTATTATAACATGAACAGGAACAAATGAATGTGGGAGAAACGCATAGAGAGATAATTTTAATTAATGTACTTTTCGAAATTAAAATTAATTTAGTCTATAGTCCTGTGTGTTGTGCTATTGTTGCACTTTCATATTCATTTTATGGCTTATTTACTTTCTGCATTTAATAAATCAATTCTCTCATAAATTCCAAAAATGATAAAAGTTTTGCGCTATAATTTTTGTTTATTAGTTTTAATATTTCTGGCTTTTGTTTGAATAGCTTTGTGAGCATGTAATTTTGAGGTTTTATAGGCAAATGAAAAAAATTTTATGCAACAGCTTTGTAAACATGAAAAAATGTATTAAATTTCAATTTCAATAATTGATTTGAACAATTTGTTGTATGATTTTTTTTTAAACAAAATTGAAAATTTTATTGGGATTAAAAAGCTGAACAAATTGGTCATCGTGTTTAAACTCGACCTTGACATGCTAAATAATTGATAGTGCTTTTTGATTAAATAAATAATAGAGTGGTTTGCGGACGAGAAAAATAGAGTAATAAATTAGCAATATGTTGTTTATTGAAATTTATGTTTTAAGTAAATTTGTTTTAAAATTAATTGAACTCAACTGAATTCATCACAAATACTCATCTCAGCTGAATTCAGCAAAAACACTCATTAAAGCTCATTAAAGCTGAATTCAGCAAATACACTCAGTTCAGTTGAATTCAGCAAATATACACAGCACAGTTGAATTCAGCAAAAACACTCATATTAGCTGAATTCACCAAATACATTCAGCTAAGCTAAATTCAGCAAATATACACAGCACAGTTGAATTCAGAAAAAATACTCATATTAGCTGAATTCACCAAATACATTCAGCTAAGCTGAATTCAGCAAAAAAAGCTGATTTTAGCTGAATTTTGCAAGAAGTTCTATTCCGGATAGTTTAAGTGCATATTTGAACCTCTCAAACATCCTCATAATCGAAAATTCTATCAAACATTTTACAAAGCAGCAACATCAGAAAATAAACCCAAAACTCGACGTTTTGATCTTCACGGTTCATTAAAAAATAAAAGAAACATTTTTCTTTTAGAAAAAATGAAGCGAATCTAACCTCAAAATTATCATTAAATTATCTCGTGCATTTACTCAATTAAGAGAAAATGAAATGAAAAGTTTTAAAAAAGAAAATGATGAAAACATTAATTGCATGCTTAACTCACAAGAATGAAAGGCAAAAAAGAGGAGAAATGAAATTTATCTCAGAAAATACAAATTAAGTAAATGAAAAGTTTTGTGTACACGAGCTGGTTGTTGCTTGTCAGAATATTGAAACAATTTATTACAAAAACATATAATTCTCTATACGGATCTCATTTACTTTGTGTGATAGGGCTTCTTGAAGATGTATTACTTTGAAATCAATTTGGGATTATATTGTGTTATGTTATTCAGCATTGAATGAGCTCGACGAACAGCATTGAATGAGCTCAATTGACAGCATTGAATCAGTTCAACCGACAGTATTAATCAACTCAACTGACAGCGTTGAATTAGCTAAACTGACATCAATGAATGAGCTCAACTGACAGCATTTAATAAGCTTGACTGACAGCATTAATGAGCTCAACTGACATCATTGAATTTGCCCAATTGCCAATATTTAATCAGCTCAACTGAAAGCATTGAATCAGCTAAAATAACAGCCATGAATGAACTCGACTGACAGCATTAATAAGCTTAACTGACAGCATTGAATCAGCTTAATTGACAGCATTTAATGAGCTCGACTAACAGCATTTAATGAGCTAAACTGACAATCTTTCCTATTTTCACGTAAAACATCCAATATAAAGCTCAAAGAAGCCCTATTGACTTGAATGTCTAAAGATAATTATGTGGATGTGTATGTATGTGAGCTTGCCGCTAATGAACTCGACCCCAATTTTTCAACAATGTAAAAGTCGACATGGAATGAGTAAAAAATAAAATAAAATGAAAAAAGTTTGTTTTACATTTTTGTGACATGAATTTTAAAAAGAAATGAAAATTGTGAAGAAAACTATTTTAAAACTTTTTTGTTATTATTTGTTCTATCCATCCTCTCTCTTATTTTTGGCACAGAAAAGTTTGTCTCTATAAATTTTTTTGGTTGTTGTATTTTTTCATGGTTTTTCGAAATGAAATTATTTTCATTTTTTGATCCCATTTTAAAGTTTATTTATCCTTTAATTTGTTTATGACTTTTCAAATTATACTTAAATAGTTTTGAATGAATTGTTTTGTTGGGACATTTATTTTCGACTTAATTTTGTGGGTAAGAATGTTTTTGAGTATGATTATTATGGAGTAGTATTGATTTAAGTATTTGGCGCATTTTATTTGGGAATGAGAAAAGTTTAAATAATGATTTGAACAGCTCTTAATGAGCTTAACTGTTAGTATTTATATGAGCTAGATTGACAGCATTAAAATGAGCTCGACTGACAGCATTTACAAAGTTCAATTAACAATAATATCTTAGCTTGACTGTCATCATTTTTTTTGATCGACTGACAGCATTGTCTAAGCTTTACCGACAGCATTATCTAAGCTTTGCTGACAGCATCATCTGAGCTCGACTGACAGCATTGTCTAAGCTTTATCGGCAGCATTATCTAAGCTTTGTTGACAGCATCATCTGAGCTCGACTGACAGCATTGTCCAAGTTTGACTGTCAGCATTGTCCAAGATTTACTGACAGCATTGTCTAAGCTTTACCGACAGCATTGTTTAAGCTTTACTGACAGCATTGTCATCATGTGAGTTAAACTGACAGCATTATCAAAACTTTACTGACGATGCTATCAAAGCTTGACTGACAGCATTAACATAGCTGATTCAGCTGACAATTTTCATTGAAAATAATAATCTTTAAACTTTAAAATAAACTTTAATCAGGAAACGCTCATTGAGTAATACAACATTAGATACTTTCCTAAATGTTTTCTCTATCTTCGTCATTAACATGATTACAGCAACAGAAATAAATTTTAAATTGAATTATTCACAAACTTAAACCCTTTTGCCCCATCTCAACTTAATGTTTATTTATCTATCTTTTGAGTATTTTAAAGTCCCAAATTTGCACTTTAAATAATTCAATTTCACTCTCATTTCACCGACATGTTAGCAGGAAATACTTTAAGTATGAATAATTGATGGCAAAAAGTATTAAAATATAACTAATTAATCCAGTATTTTGATTAAAATTGACATTTTTCATTTTATATGCCATTATGCTATTCGCTGACGACGACTCTAAATTCTCTCGCATCACTTGCTCGTGACACTTTCCAATTGACGATAAATCAATTCGACTCATTTGTAGACCGTAGAGTTCGAGCGGTGAAATACAAAAGTTTTTCGTAAGAAATTCATGATAATCATAGGACGTTGTATTGACTAAAGGGCTCTCAAGTAATGTATGTATATGACATCCACATGGAAAATGATTATTTTGGACAATGATTGTCTCGATACCTTCCAATACAATTGTGCCAGGCTCAGGTGTCTCAAGTAAATGATTACCGTATATTTTCAATTGTTTTATATTATGTGCTTCGGTCAAGTTGAGCTCGAGTATCGCATCGATTTTATTGTTGAGTATGTTCAATGATTCGACATTTGTAAGTCCATCGAATGAGTTTTCAGTAACGATACCCAAATCCGATTCTTGTAGTAATAATACTTTTACATTACGTAAATTCCTAAATGTATATGACTGTAGTGAATCGAGATCCATGAATGATAATTTGAGCAATCCAACTGTATCTAAACCGGAAAAGGCATCAGGTTCAATTTGTCGTAGACCACTCGGCAATATAAGACGTTCAACATTTGTTAAGCTCGAAAAAGCATTCGTTTCAAGTTTTACCATAGGATTGTTAATTAATAGAATCATTTTTACATTGGCAGTTCCGGCAAAGGCATAACCCTCAACGCGTAAAATTTTATTATGTCCTAATAGGATGGTCGATATGTTCTGTAAACCCGCAAAGGCAAAACGTGCAACTGTCGATAATGGCGTGTATTGTATTGATAACTCTTTCAGACGCGGTAAACCACGAAATGCAAATGGCTTTATCGTCGACACATTATTTCCATCTAATACAAGCTTCTTTAATGCTCTCAGTCCACCGAATGCATCCGATTTGATTATTGGAAAATTGTTTTTTGTCAATGACAAATGCTCGACGGTTGGCGGAAATTGTTTGACGGGAATCTCATTAAGGCCACCTGTATTGCACAAAACCTGTGAATTGAATTGAAAAAGTGGAAATTGTTAGAAAAATGTTTATATTTAAAAATTATTTGAGCTTTTTACGTTTGACGAAAATTTATTAAAATAATTTTAGCTACTGGAAGGGTTTATTTGAATAAAATGAGCCACTGGAAGTTTCCATTGATATAATTTGAGTTACTGGAAGTGTTTATTTGAACAAATTGAGCAACTGGAAGTTTCCATTGGAATAATATGAGCCACTGGAAAATCCATTGGAATAATTTGAGTTACTGGAAGTTTTCATTGGAATAATTTGAGTTACTAGAAGTTTTTATTTGAATAAAGTGAGCAACTGGAAGTTTCCATTGGAATAATTTGAATTACTGGAAGATTTTATAGAATAATTTAAGTTTCTATTGAAATAATTTAAAGCTTTCATTCAAATCAGCATAAAATTTGCAAACAATACTTTAAAATCTCATCGTCAATCCCAAAAATATCCATTGCAGACAAAAACGCAATAACAATTTTCCAATAAAAAAAAAAGAGAAATTGAGGTCACGAAAAATGGCACTCCAGAGTCACATTCTTCAAAAAGGAGCAACAAAAGAAGAAGAAAATAAAATTATAATATAAAAAAATGAGCGAAAAGCTTTGCTGCGAAAAAAAGGGTTGAGAAGGAAAAAAAATCCACAATTTTCTGTTCTATAGAAAAATTTTCAACTTTCTAATTGAATTTTCCGAAAAATTGGGAACCGCAAAAATTTACATAATTTTGTGTGATGCCTTCACCTTCCTCTACTTTTTATAGCAATGAAAAGTATCTTTTCGTCTGGAAAGCTACGTGATTGTGGAATAATCTTGAAATTTATTCATTTAATTACATTGTGCTTCCAAAAGCTTCACTCGTACTCAACATTATTAGCTTAGTTTGTAGACGTGAATTGGGGGAGGCATTTTTAATGAATATATCAGCAATGGCTGTCTGTCTGAGTGAATGTTTCAATCTAATAGCTTAATTCTTTAATTAGTATTTGGATTAGATCAAGTTATTGTTAAAAATAGATATTCATCAATCTGAGTCTTTAATTTTATGAAAGGAAGTCATCATCAACAGCATTTAGTGCTTTAAAAAAATTTTGTAAGCTTCTTTTCATCAATGTCAGCTTCATTTTTATTCTATGAAGAACAGGAAGAAGTATGAATGTAAAAACAAGAATAGAGGCTTACTCCATTTCAGTTTGAATGTAGAAATGACTTTTTTTTTGTCGTCTGTAACATGTAGGGGTTAATTAACTTTAGTTTTTCGTAGAAATGAATGAACATTTTTGAGGAACAGAATCTAATGAAACAATGTATAGTAAAAAAAGGGATTCGCATACTCAAATAGTGTTCAACAAGATAAAAGAATACATAGCAGGGGTGTAGCAATTGGGTAGGCTACAGGGATCATGTCCTTGTTTGAAGTGTTTAAGGGGATGTCCACAGCCCGACCCCTCGTACTAGCGCCTCTCAAAACAGTTTATGAATTGCTGTTTGTCCTGTAATTTTGAGCAATGTTTTACAAGAGAAGGATCTGCATCAGTCCCATATCCATAAAACCATATTCCAAATTAGAATATTTACTCTAACCCTCAAATGCTACTTCCTTAAAATTACAGTGCATTCGCAACTGCAGGAACAATTTAGCAATACAAATACAGCCGAGTAATTGTCACGTTGTGAATGAATTGCCAATGAATGTGCTAATTTTTATATCAACCCATTCAACATTTCATTCTTTCGTTCTGTCGTCTTTTGATGTCAAATAACTCGAGCAATATGACAACTACTTAGTCTTTGCTATCTTTTTTCTTCTTCCTTCATTTCATTATTGTATGACAACAATGAGCAATTCAAGCAATTCACTTAATTTTTGCTCTTTTCGTGCACACATGGGAGGTGTATTTGTATTGTTGTCATCATCGCTCTGTTTGGTGCTTATGTGTAGGGGTAGATTTTTTTATTATTTTTATTTTATTTGTTTGTTTGTTAAGGATGATAAAAATATTGTTATTGGAGTTTGTAGAGAGAATCTTGAATGCGTTGATAGAAATTCTGAGATTTGTTAATGAATCTGATTTTCGGTATTTGGTTATTACAATTTAATAAAGCGATTAGTTGTTACAAAATACCAAGACTTAGTAATTCCAATTTAATGTGTCAAAAACACACAAATTACAACAAACTTCACAAAATCAGAATCAATTAGTTTGATTTTAATTAATTAATTATTGTTTACCGATTTCTTTAATGACTTACACAGAATTTGATCTGTATTAAACATTAAATATGTTTAATACATTCCCAAATAGTCTAATAATTAAGTTAAAGCTTTATGTACTCCTTCAGTTTCAAAATTCATACTAAAATTATAAACAAACACGAGGGGCGTGAAACTAAGTTTAGCAGGTGGAATTTGAATTTAGATAAACCGTTGATTTTCCTACTAATTTAAAAATAATCTTATTACTTGTAGCTTCAGATGTCAATCACATATTCTTTCAAATATCAACATATATCAAAACTTTTTCAATTATTTTAGACTCAATCTTTAGATGAGCTTTGAGATTTCAAGTATTTACAATATTCTGATGCTTCAATGAACTCATTTCATATTTTCTAAAAGCATATTTAATGAAAATTTTCCATATAAATTCGCATTTAATAGGAAAAGTTTGAGTAAAGCTTCAAGACTCTTCTCAATTCCACCACATTTGTAATTAAAATAGTTTCTGACTCAAAATTTAATTTCCATATGAAAATGCTCAAGCATCCATAAATTATTCAGATATTACAACACAAATATCTTCAACATTTTATTCATAAAAATTCTTGAGAATCGCACCTTCATCGGCGTTAAATTAAATAAATTGCATGCCAAAAGCACACTTCAGTGTTTTCACTAATTAACGACATTATCATCCATAATTAACGGAGCAGAAATGAAAAGAAGTAAAGAATTTCCAACTCAGGGGAATGTGTTGATGACGAAATTCTGGTCACGATAAGCTCAAATAATAAACTGATAAAAGAATTCTCTACATACCTGAGTTTGTGACAAACAGATGCATTCAGTTGGGCATGCTGTAACGACGCTTATGACATTAATTATAGGACTCGCATTCAGTGTTATCTCCAAGCATATTATCAGCCACCAGATTACATTCATTGCAATTAAAACGTCTTTTGTCCTTCATTTACACGCTGTAATGAGAAAAAGGAAGAAGAGATGAATTTAAAGAATTTACTGCTTGACTAGATTGTTTCATGTAATGAGATTGGTGTTGGTGTGGAATCTGTTTGGAGCGCATTAATGTGTGGTTTAATTTGTGATTTGTAAACGTGGTTTCAGGTGGCGCTATTGGGCTTATGGTCTACATTAGAAATTGTTGGATTAATGAGCCAAAGACTCACTTCTCGTCGATGATCGATAAATTTAAAAATTTTTGAGGTTAGAATTGACAAATTATTATAGTTAAGCGTAGTTTCATACCCCTTACCTTTCCTAACACCCTAAAATTTGTCTCCTTTGAGATTAGGTGTTTGTTTGAATAATAATTAAATGAACTGTGTTTTTATGCATAGCTTCATACCCATTAACCAATTCTTCACTTTGAAATGTGTTTCTTCTAAAGGTTTGCATAGTTTCATACCCCTTAGCCTACTCTACACTCAAAAATTTGGCCCCTTTTGAGATTAGAAGTTGATTTTGATAATAATTGACTTAACTGCTTAATTATGCATAGTTTCATACCCCCTTTTCCGTTACAATCCCATAAATTTGGTGCTAAAATCCTTTTTAAATCAAATTTTCACCAAAGATTGAAATCCCTTCTCAAAATCAAACAAAACACGTGCATTCTAAACAATTACTCTGTATATCCAGCAAGTGATACTCCCAAAACACCAAAAAGTGACAATAAACTTCCAAGAAATTCACTAAAACCCCAAAACAAACTTCCAAGTCAGACACAATTCAAATGAAAAACTTTTTTTGTCTCTTAAAAATGTCATTTTAACTAAGTTTATATTTTTTGTGTATGGCACTTAAAAAGCCATTAGAGAGATTCAGATAAAGTTATGGAAAAGCCCCAAAACATCTTCTTGTAAAGGGAAATCTCCATTGAGACATTTAATCTATACACATTCACTTGAAGATTAAAAATACAGCCAGTTAACGTTAACTCTAAAGAAATCACATGGATGGTGAAGCTAACGTGGGACGGATTAGAATGAAGCAAAATTGAGAGTGAGGATGGGAAAAAAAATCTACAACGGGGGATGTAATTTGCTGCTTTATTTATAGATAATCCTCATGATACCACAATTACTACACTCTTCTCACGTTCCTTCGCTCATATTCACTTCATTCAGTGGATAATGTGGTTGAAAATTTTATTGATATCGGTAATATTATTGGTGACAGATTGAAAGGGGAATAAAAACTAGAGTAAATACTTGTTAAGAATGTTGAGAGCTTTCTTAAATTTGATAAGTTTGTTGAGAGACTAAACCTATTTTTGAAGCTTTTTGACTGACATTGAAACTTTTTGAGTTAAATTAAAGCTTTTTGACTGAATTTAAAGCTTTTTGACTGAATTTGAAGCTTTTTGACTTAAATTGAAGCCTTTTGACTGAAATTAAAGCTTTTTGACTTAAATTAAAGCTTTTTGACTTAAATTGAAGCTTTTTGACTTAAATTAAAGCTTTTTGACTGAAATTGAAGCTTATTTGACTAAAATTGAAGCTTAAAAACTGAAATTAATTATTCTTTACTTAAATTAAAGCTTTTTGACTGAATTTGAAACTTTTTGACTTAAATTTAAGCCTTTTGACTGAAATTAAAGCTTTTTGACTAAAATTGAAGCTTTTTGACTTAAATTGAAGCCTTTTGACTTAAATTAAAGCTTTTTGACTGAAATTAAAGCTTTTTGACTTGAATTGAAGCTTTTTGACTGAAATTGAAGCTTTTTGACTTAAATTAAAGCTTTTTGACTGAAATTGAAGCTTTTTTGACTAAAATTGAAGCTTTTAAACTGAAATTAAATGTTATTGACTTAAGTTAAAGATTTTTGACTGAAATGAAAGCTTTTGAGTTAATTCAAAGCTATTTGGCAGATTTTAAATCATTTTTAAGTTCTAAAGTTTTTTAAAATCAGTTAAAAGCTATTGAAAAACAATTCATCAAAATTATATTCACTAAAACCGTCAATTAAACTACGAAGTCGAGTAAATTTATGCAAATTTTTGTTATCATTATCTAATCTTAAATATTCTTAGATGAAGCATAAATTTCATGACCCAAAAGATACATTAAAGACTTTTTGCGTGAAATTTATGGCAATTAAGAATATTGATTCAGTGCCAAAATGTATATTAAGTAGAGAATGATAATATTTTAATGGAAATCTTAATTGATTATTCATCTGGCTCCTTAAATTATGAGCATATGAAGTGAATCTATTTGTGAGTTGTATTGATGTGATTTCAGTTTAGTTCCTTTAAAAAATTATGTCTTAAAATTTGAATCATTTCATTAGTTTTTTTCTGTAATTAAATAAACCTTTGAATGACAACGTCTACGAAAGTTCAAAAATTATAAATTTAAAATAGATTTCTCGTAATTTTTATTAATAAAGTATAAGATAAAGTCGAGATAATTTTAGTAAACTCTTGATGAGTTTTTTTTTAATTTTTGTGAAGATTTTTTCATTAACACTACTTAAACCCTTTTTACTTTGTAAATATTTGAATAAACTTAAAGATTCGTCAGTAATCTACAGACACTGTAATCTTTTTCAATGAAAAAAAAATTAAATTGATTATTTATTGTATTATAGTTCAAAACTGTAAAATACATTTTATTAATAGGTACTATTTAAATGAATTTGATTTTTCATGCATCATACAACAATTGCTTAAAGTAGATTTTTGAGAAATTTATTTTCAGATTGAGAAAATTCTTCAATTTTTTTTAAATAATACGTGCTAAAATAAGTTGAATTTAAATTATTTTGATTAATATGTTACGAAAAAATTTGAGACAAAATTAAGTTTTTAGTAGTCATAATATTTATCAAAAAATCTTTAAAAAAAAGTTTAGCGTAAAAAACCTTTATTAGCTTTAAAAAAGCTTCACAAGCGTCAAAAAAGCTTAACTAACTTCAAAATGTTTCTCTAGCTTCAAAAAAATTTTACTAGCTTATAAAAAAGCTTCACTGGCTTCAGAAAAGCTTTACTAGTTTCAAAAAAGCTTTACTGACTTCTAAAAAAGCTTCACTAGCGTCAAAAAGTTTCACTAGCTTTAAAAAAGTTTTACTAGCTTATAACAAAACTTTACAAGCTTTAAAAAAGCTAAACAAGCTCACTAGCATCAAAAAAGCTGCACTAGCTTTTAAAAAAGCTTTACTAGCTTCAAAAAAGCTTCAATAGCGTCAAAAAAGATTCACTAGCTTCAAAAAGTTTCACTAGCTTTAAAAAAGTTTTATTAGCTTATAAAAAAGCTTCACAAGCTTCAAAAAAGCTTCACTAGCATCAAAAAATCTGCAGTAGTTTCTAAAAAAGTTCCACTGCGTTAAAAAAGCTTTCCTAGCTTCAGAAAAACTTTACGAGCTTCAAAACAGCTTCACTAGCTTCAAAAAAGATTCACAATCGTCAAAAAAAACTTCAAAAGTTTAACTAGTTTCAGAAAAGCTTTATTGGCTTAATAAAAGCTTTACTAGCTTCAAAAAGCTTTAATAGCTTTAAAAAGCTTCACTAGCTTTAATTAAATTTCAATTAAATTTTTTTAACCTTCGCAAAAATTAATTTAACAGCTCAAAAAGTGTCAAACCTTTAAAATTGTTAAAATATTTGACATTTCCCAAGATAAAATTCAAATGGTTTGACCTTAAAAACTTCACAATTCACTCCTTTTTAATGCAACTTCATAAAATTACACAAAAAGAAGAAGTTTATTGACTCCAGAAAGTTTATAAATAAATTTATTAAAATCTCCCCCAACAATGAGCTTCCACCCGGCATTCTTCATTGTATATTAACTCAACAATAAAGTACAGACAATGGCAAGAAAAATGAAAGGAAAATCTCGATAAGAACGCTAATAAATTTTCTGTTTTTGTTCATCTCCTCAACGATTTTCATTCGAACCTTTTTTCCAGCACAACTCAGCACAAAAAAAAAAATAAAGAAAAGAAACTTTAAATAAATTTGTCATTGGATGCATGAAGAAGCAGCAAGTCGAAGTTTTTCGCAGTCTTTAATTAAAGGAAATAAGGATAATCATTCAATACACAAGTCACGACTGAAATAAGCTTCGACCCTCACGTATTTATTCATTTTGTATCATTTTGCCATAAAAAGTTGACACACTTTTCTCACTTTGCTGTGACTGAACGGATGACTCAATGTTTATGTCTAAAGAAAAACAAGAAAATAGGAAGTAAAACTTTTTTTTTTGTCAATCCGATTCGACACCTTATGCGTTGAAAATAAAAATCGATAAATGTTGAAAAGGAACAGCAAATTGTTGATATCTCATTCGTCTTTTAAGAGTTATTCAAGATGTATGAAGATCTCTTTTTAGTCCTTTTTCATATCTTACATTAAGGTTGGGACATGATTCTTAAAGAATGAGTAATGTGTTCAGATTGACTGGATTTAAGATCCAAATTTGGGCGTTTAAGATGTTCAGATTGGGAGGGGGGGGGGGGGGGGGGGGGGGTGGAAGGGCGGGGGGTCCGTAGAGTTCAGAAGAATGGACATGGAAGAGATATGGGTCAGTTGTCTGTTAAGGGTACGGCCTGAGAATGCTCATTCTTGAGGTCTGCTCCTACACATTCAATTTTGCCTCGACAAGACACCCCTTCTCAAATTGATTTAGCCCTTGCATGGTTCAAGCATAGATTATTTTCAGAATGCTCCTTAAGCAACCCAATACCCAACTCATTTTCTTTGTCACCTTCCTTAAATCCTCTCACACACTCACTCAATTTACTATAAATTTATTCTTTATTTTTCATCTGTACTTTAAGGCCATCCACTTTAACCCCATTTTATTATTTTGGGCACATAGCTGGAGACAAAGACAAAGTAAAGCTACGCATTTGAAAAAAAGATGGAATAAATAAAAGCCCAACAAAGGCAAAGCATGAGATATTGAGGGAGATAAAAGGAACGTTGAGGTGCTCTTCACTGAACAGGAA